CCAGTGACACCATTAATTATTTTACCACTCCATGCACTCACACACTTTTTGCCTTTGCTATGTTGTTCTTTTGCTAGAAATGCCTTTTTTCACCTTTTAAAAGTGTCTTGGTCTTCTAAGTATCATATACTACATGGATCCTTCTTTACACCCTGTTCTGAGCAGGAGTAAGAGCTCTCACCTCTGGCTGCATTTAGCACTTGTTTTTACTTTACTAGTGTACATACTTTTTATGTTCAGACTAACTTGCCCTGTACCTATTGGGCTGTGTCTCCCTCAACAGTTTTTGTGCTCCTGGATGGTGGCCTCTGTACTCCATTAACCTTTGCTTATAAATACAAGTTTAGTCTTTGAGCTAGCAATCAAGCAGCTTTCCAATTTTTAAAATTTGCCTCTCTCTTCCTTCATTAATTCTTGACTTTCCTGCTTACAAGAGTAATTTTCCCTCCCCAAATCCTTCTCTTTTCGGATAACATTATCAAAGGAATGATACTTTTTTGTATAAAGGAAGTCATCAGTTTTGGCCTGTTGAAGTTTCTGAATCACTAGGAGCTACATAATTTCTTGCCACATATGCACTAGAATCTACTGGGATTTTTAGGGCTAGTATCCAAGGCTTTCTTTTCCAGGCCTCAGCTTAAGAGATCCAGAAAGAAATTCCTTGACTTTCTTATGGGTGAAAAAAGATCTTCATTGCTTACACTTTCTCTAAACAAAGCTGTCTAGTTTTTACATTGTGAAACTCTTGGGGTGTTTGCAGATAGAAAGTACTAGGGCAAAATGACACAAGAACCTTGTGATATCGCGTTTCTCCAATGGCACCATGAGAATTCTAACATTATATTAGAATAAATTTTAGGTAGAATCCTGAGATTTCCTTTTATTGATGACAGTAGTTTCAAGAACTACAATCCCAGCTGAGAGTCCTAGATCACACATAGGCATCAGAGAATGATTTACTTTTAAGGCTGAATTACAAGGGACCAAAGCCACTTATAGGAAAATGTCTCTAGACCAGAGGTTGCAAGTTAGAGCCTACAAATGTGATAGTGCTTATAAATTTTGAATTATTTACCAATATTTGAAATTTGGAAAGTGTACCATCGAATTTCAGATTTTTAAAATTACTTTATGAGACCAGAATATTGTCGCTCCCCCTCTTCGTGGAGGAACGACACAGGACCCTGTGCTGTTCTTTTGTCTGCTCAGCCCTTCCCGGGTTTGCTGCTGGTTCTTCCCGGGTTGGCTACTGTCCCTTCCACCTCCGTGGAAGGGCGGTTCCCCCTGCCACTTTTCCCCACTTCCGCGGGGGAGCGGCACACCGCCGGCCGGCTCTCTTGGGGGCTGCACAGGTGTTCCTTCAGATAGATGTTCCTGGTGCATGTTGTCTCTCTCCTCCTTTATAGTCCTCTTCCACCAATACCAACTCTGCTACCCACACGCCGAGTACGCTGCTCTCCTCCAATCAGGAGCAGGTCCTGCAGCTTGTCAAGTTGGTGAGAGGCAGCTGTGCAGAAGCTGTTTCCTCCTCTCCCAGCGCCATATTGTGGGAGAGCAGATGCATAGAATAAGTCTTAATTCCAGTAACATAGTCTAGTCTGAGTTGCTCCCAGTTGCTCCCCACAAATATCTAACAACACTGGGTTCAAATCTTACATGGTCATAATCAGCTGAAGCTGAGTAGTGGCTACCCTGGTAAATGTCATAACTTTTGTCTTTTTCCCTGAAGACCAGGTTCAATATCAGTTGCCATTAATCCACTCACTTGCATTCTAGTTTCATTTATAATAGTATTAAGAAATCTCCATAGAAGTAAGAGGAAAGTGAAATGTATCCTTGTATCCATACTTATCAAGTTTTTTTTAAGTAAACTAAGATGACTATGTTTGAGTAAAAAAGGAATGTCTACATTTCCTTACAGAAGTGAAGAACAGTTCTACATCTTTACTTTGTATACAAAGTATGCTTTTGCTGAAAAGATAAAACTTCAGATATCAAAATTATACAAGTAATTATCAAAAATTCTAATTGATATAAAGTAGCCTCATCCTTTATCTGCAAGGAGTACATTCCGAGATCCCAGTGGGTGCCTGAAAGTGCACACAGTACTGAACTCTATGTATACTAGGTTATTTATTTATTTATTTATTTTTTATTTATTTATTTATTTTTGACAGGCAGAGTGGACAGTGAGAGAGAGAGACAGAGAGAAAGGTCTTCCTTTTGCCGGTGGTTCACCCTCCAATGGCTGCCGCGGCCGGCACGCTGCGGCCGGCGCACCTTGCTGATCCGATGGCAGGAGCCAGGAGCCAGGTGCTTTTCCTGGTCTCCCATGGGGTGCAGGGCCCAAGCACCTGGGCCATCCTCCACTGCACTCCCTGGCCACAGCAGAGAGCTGGCCTGGAAGAGGGGCAACCGGGACAGAATCCGGCGCCCCAACCGGGACTAGAACCCAGTGTGCCGGCGCCACTAGGTGGAGGATTAGCCTAGTGAGCTGCGGCGCCGGCTATACTAGGTTTTTTCCTATCCATACATACCTATGATAAAGTTTAATTTACAAGTTAGGTGTGATAAGAGAACAATAGAATAATTATAACAATATACTGTAATAAAAGTGTGAGTGAGATCTCTCTCATATGTCAAAATGTCCTCAGCATTTTTTGTGGTGATGTGAGATGATACAATGAGATGAGTGATGTAGCATTATGAGGTAGTGCTAGCTACAATGTAGGAGTTACTTAGGCACAAACACAGCAATGCTGTAATGTAACAGTCAATCTGTAACCTAGACAGCTACACAGTAATAGGTAGGTAGCATATATGTCATGGATTCACTAGACAAAGAGATTATTTATGTATTGGGCAAGAAATAGTGAGAAGGTATCACATTACTCAGAATAGTGCACAATTTAAAACCTATGCATTTTTTTAATTTCTGGAATTTCCCATTGATATTTTTGGGCTGCATTCAGCATGGATAACTGGAACCATAGAAAGTGAAACCACCAAAAAGGGGGATCTACTATGTTGAGAGGATACAAAGAATCTTAAAGCATCAGACCGGAGGCAGGGATTTGGCATAATGGTTAAGATGCCGCTTGGGATGCTTGCATGCCATATTAGAGAGCCTGGATTTGAATCCTGACTCTGCCTCTGATTCCAGCTTCCTGCTAATGGGCACTCTGGAAGGCAGCTCAAGTAATTTGGTCCCTGCCACCTATGTGGGAGGCCTGGATTGAGTTTCAGGCTCCTGACTTTGGCCTGGCCCAGTCTTAGATTTTGCAGGCATTTGGAGAATGAGCCAGTGGATGGGAGGTCTTTCTCTGTATTTCAGAAATAAATAAAATAGGCCAGCGCTGTGGCTCACTTGGCTAATGCTCCACCTGCAGTGCCGCAACCTCGGGTTCTAGTCCCGGTTGCTCCACTTCCAGTCCAGCTCTCTGCTGTGGCCCGGGTGGGCAGTGGAGGATGGCCCAAGTGTTTGGGTCCCTGCACCCGCATGGGAGACGGGGAGGAAGTACCCAGTTCCTGATGGGAAATGCAATTAATTATGCTTTCAGTAGCAACTTTTCCAGGCAAGAAAATATTTTATAGATCACAAATTTTAAAAGTGTCATTTTATTGCAACAAACTGGATGCTTTGTTGTCCATCTTTTGCAGAAATGACTGGAACCGTATACAGGGCAAGTTATATGGAAAAATCAAATTTATTGTGGCATTTTGTTTTGTAGCTTATGACAACACAGATGTAAAAATACTGTAAAATAATGTATATGTTTTTCATAATGTCCATGAGAATTTTGATGTAACTAAAGAACTTTTTGGTCTCTTGTACATTACAGGTATATCAAGAAATGGCTAATTTAGAGATATTGAAAAAAGTCCTTACAAATATAATGTAAGCAGATTGTAATTTATGCCTGAGTAGGCATTAACATCAGACTTTTTATAAAACGTATGTCCAACACTTCAAAGTTTTTCAGAGACCCATCACTTGCATTTGTTCTTTGGCAGATTTACCAGAAATTATTAATTTTGCAATAAAATGTTTAAATAAAGCTCAACATGAACTTATCCATTGCCACCATGAGTTGGACACACTTCCCCAAACCCCCATCCTCCTCACCCCCACCCCATCCAAAGCAGCACAAAACTTAGAGGAAAGAACTGAATAGTTTGGTGGTCAACTCCCCTTTACGAGTCTATGTGCTTGGATTGGGGTAAGGTGTTCACCCCAAATATAAAATCTGTTGTCAAAAAGTCAATATGTTTGTAAAGGAATCAACTCATTCCTTAGAGGACTAAAACTAAATAATTCCACTTGATTCTCCTACCATTTCCTTTTCCTATATCTTTTTTAATCACTATAAAATTCTATACTTGATATTAAAATTCCAAATACAAGCCCTACCATTAACACGCTGAAGGAAAGGTATCAGGTTTCTGGCTTGTACATCAAAGTGGTAACAAATTATTAAGGAAAATTATTATTATTAATTATTGCTATTTTAATTTATAATTTTTATTTTTCATTTAAAATATACCTAGCATACTTATCTGATATGCTCACTCTATAATTAAAGAAAATTTTATTACTTTTCTGCCTGTTTATTTTTCTTACAACTACCCTGATTTGCTCATTTAACTACCTGTCTGGCTCCTGTAAGTAATTGAGTGTGGGAAGTCTGCATAGGGTAATATTGTGGTCATCCTTCCCCCTGACTATACTTTCTACCTTCCAAGAGAAGGAAATGTTTATTGGGTTCATGTCTATGTATATAGCATATACTTTAGTAGTTATTCAATGAGTGCTTATTAGATGTATGTATGGATGGATGGATGGATGGATGAATGGATAAATGATTGTATTTCAGTTGAAGACAAAACACATACCCAGAACTCTTTGGGAATGGAAGTTGTATTTCCATCTCATTTTAGTTCAGCATCAGAGCTAATCATTTTTTTTTCTTCAACTTATCCTTCACCCTTTTCTGCCTTAGATGCCTATACAACAGCCGAAGTGGTTTATTCCTGGACTCTTGGGAAAAACAAATCTGTGGAAGTGGCACAGGACGGGTCTCGTCTGAACCAATATGATCTGCTGGGTCATGTTGTTGGGACAGAGATAATCCGGTCCAGTACAGGTATTTACTTTTTTCTGTTTATTAATAATTTAATTTGCCAAACAGTCTTATAGCAAAGGTACTATTATCATGAGGATATTAAGGCATATAGAAGCTCAGTGATTTTTCCCATGTTATGCATACATAGAACGGCAGAGCCAAAATCTGAAGCCAAACAGATTGGATCTCAAGCCCCTCTTAACTACTATGCCCTGCTGTCTCTTGGGGGTTAGGCCAGCAGTTTAAAGGTATTAGTGCTGGAGTGTGGTAGAAGAGAATAGAGAGGGAAGCCATGGTGATGAGAAAGCTGAGCTTTGATCCTACAGGTTTTGTTACCTTTGCTTAACTCAGCCAGTGCTGAGGTGCACAACAAGAACCCTGGTAGATATCAGGCACATAACCAGAAAATCCAGGGAGTAGCCATGGAATTATTTTAATAAGTGGATCACATACTTCAGAAAAAAAAGCTTGTTTGGCAATATTTACCAGGTCTTCCCAATGGCTGATACTCAATTATTGGTAAATAGAACTGGAGACTTGTTCTGTAACTTTTAAGCCTGGTCTATTTGGAACCTGATCAGTTCCTGGGACCTGAGGATGGAAGTACCCTGCATCCCAACTAATCTCAGGGCACATGGCAAAATGTAGCATAGCCTGGGGGCTACATATTCTACATTTTTTTTTTTTTGCTGTGAAAGGATGAGAACTTTCAACATTACTTTTCAAACAATGCTTGTCTCTGTGAATCCACAATGATAAATGTTAGTAGGGTACTCTTGTCCTTTTTTCATTATCTGAACATATGCTGTTCCCTCTTGTGATGGCACCCAACATGCAATCTTATCTGCACCCAAGGACCAGGGGAGGGTACCTGGAAGAAATGGCATTTGAAATGGATTTGAAGGATGAACAAGATTTAGAGATCTGGAATTAGGTGCGGGGACAGATTATTTTCAGAAAGGGCAGATGTCTGAGTGAGCGCACTCCACTGTGGCACAGAACAACACAGATAGCACAGTGTGGTACAGGTAGAACTAACACAGTGCAACATAGCACAGTACAGCGGGGCACAGTGCAGTGGGCCTGTCATCCCAAAGGAGAGAATCCCCTCTATGCATGTCTCTTCATACCCCTCTCCCTCCTCAGCATTTCTTGTCTGGCATGGCATCAACTTGCAAGAACAATCACTGCCTATCCAAGCAGTCTCAACTTCTGTTGGTTAAAACATTGTTTCTTCATTGTCACACAGATAATACAATTCATAATAGGAAAATTAGAAATACATAGAACAGCAAATACTGAGTACTAAAATACGTATCCATAAGCTCCATATTCACAGATCCAACCAACTGCAGATCAAAAAGATTTATTATTATCAAAGATTTATTTCTTCATTGGAAAGGCAGAGTGACAGTGAGACAGGGATCTTCCGTCTGCTGGTTCATTCTCCAAAGGGCCCCAACAACCAAAATTAAGCAGGCTGAAGCCAGGATCCAGGAACTTCATCTGGGTCTTTTGAGTGGGTGGCAGAGACCCAAGTGCTTGCAGTGCATCCCAGGTGCTTTAGCAGGGAGCTGGATCAGAAGTACAATAGCTGAAGCCAGCACTGTGGCATAGCAGGTAAAGCCACTGCCTGCAGTGCCAGCATCCCATATCAGTACTGGTTCAAGCCTTAGCTGCCCCACTTCTGATCCAGCTCCCTACTATGGCCTGGGAAAATGGTTCTTGGGCCTCTGCACTCACATGGGAGACCCAGATGAAGCTCCTGGCTCCTGGCTTCAGCCTGGCCCAACCCTGGCCATTGCAGCCATTTGGAGAGTGAACCAGAAGATAGATAGAAGATTCATTCTCTCTCTCTCTCTCTCTCTCTCTCTTTCATTCTCTGTAACTCTGATTTTCAAATAAATAATATTTTTTTTAAAAAAAGTACTATAGCTTGAACTCAAACTAGCACGAAAATAAGCAATATATGTGTCACAAGCAGTACCACGACACTTTCCTACAAAAATATTTTTAAAAAATTGTGTCCATAGTGAATATGTACAGACTTCTTTTTCTTGTCATTATTCACTAAACAGTACAGTACAGCAGCTATTTACAGAGAATTTGCATTATGTTAAGTATTATAGGTTATAATCATGATTTGAAGTATCCAAGATGAAATGTACAGGTTCTATGCAAATATATACCATGGTGTATAAGGGACTTGACCATCCACGAATGTTGGCATCCATGGGAGTCTTGGAAACAATTTCCCCATGTAAACTGAAGGACAACCATGTTCTTTAACTCTACTATTTAGAAAAATCTTAGAAGATCTTGGCACCTTAACTGATTCTTTTTTCAACTTCAATTTAATAAATATAAATTTCCGAAGTACAACTTTTGAATTATAGCAGCTTTTCCCCCCATAACCTCCCTCCCACCCGCAACCATCCCATCTCCCACTCCCTCTCCCATCCCATTCTTCATCAAGATTCATTTCAATTATCTTTAATACAGAAGATCAGCTTAATATATACTAAGTAAAGATTTCAACAGTTTGCACTCACACAGACACACAAAGTATAGAGTACTGTTTGAGTACTAGTTTTACTGTTAATTCGCATAGTACAACACATTAAGGACAGAGGTCCTACATGGGGAACAGGTGCACAGTGACTCCCATTCTTGTATACTGTGGTATTTAATAATGTTTCTTTGCATCTTTTTTTAAACATGTTTTAATATAAATGGAGTCATACTACTGTTTATACATTTTAAATACAATTTTACATGAAAAAATAGGTTCATATTGAAAGATGTACAAGATCAAAATAAAATGTATCCAAACTTAGTTACAATATATTAAAAATTGGCATGGGCACACATTCATTAAGTATCTGTTTTAATTCAAATACAAAATAACAAAATAAAATGTTCTCCCCCAAAGCCAAAGCATTGTTGACAATGATGAAACGTCTATTGTTGTCACTAAGTATAGCATTTCATTATGAAACCTAATCATATAATACTTTTACTGTTAATGGCCTCATTTTTATGGATCATAATGTGTTTTTAAGAAATTATGTATTATTACATTCTGTTTCCATAGCATTTTTCTCCTGTGTAATTATTTACCTGGGATAAAGATGGAATATTGAATTTGCTATTTCAGAAAATAGATATATTTTGTTAAAAAACAAATTGACCTACTGCTGTTTTGAAAGGTTAAACAATTTATTCTCCCATTATAAGTGTATGAGCATGGTAGTTCCCGTAATTCTTGGCAACGTAGATGTCATAGGTTATATTATATCCCCCAAACTGTATGCTGAAGCCCTAACCCCAATGTTTCAAATATCACCTGTTTGAAAAGAAGATCTTTTAAGATCTTAGTTAAGATGAAGTCATATGTAGTAGGGTGAGCCTTTAATCTAACAGTATTAATGTCTTTATACATGGGAGAAACTGAGCTCACAGACATGCACACAGGAGGCCAAATGAAGATGAAGGTAAAGATCTGAGTCATCTGTCTACAAGCCAAGGAATAAGAAAAATTGTTAGCAAATAACTTGATGCTAGAAAGACACAAGGAAGTATTCACTTAAAGTATTCAGAATTCTAGCCTCTAGAACTGTGACATACTGAATTTTTGTTTGAACTCATACAGTTTGTGATACTTTGTTATGACAGCCCTGGCCAACTATTGCATGAGGATATCGTCATTCTGGTTTTCTTACTGGTGATCAAGTAATACTTGGGCATGGTGGTGGAGTCAGGATTAACCAATTTTCAGCATGCAATAAATCCCAAGCACTTCTCTGGTTGAGAACATGTATTAACTTATGTAACCATTGAACAACACTCTGAGATGGACAGTATTGGTATTTCAAGTTTACAGATAAGGAAATATATTATTTTCCCAGGGTCACAGAGTTGGCAAGTGCTGTAATGAGATTTTGAAACCAGGCAGCAATCTGCTTTCAGAATGTACATTCATAGTCATAACAGGAATCTCTCACTTTTTACTTTTAAGAGATAGAGATTGTGTGAGAAAATGAGAGTGTAGGGAAGAGATGAAAGGAGGAATGAGAAGGGAAGAGAAGGGAAAGGAAATGAAAGGAAAAGAAAAGAAAAAAAAAGGAAAATCAAATTATAGAAAGACTTAAACTGAAAAGTATGGCCGGCGCCACGGCTCACTTGGCTAATCTTCTGCCTGTGGTGCCGGCACCCCGGGTTCTAGTCCCGGTTGGGGCGCCGGATTCTGTCCCGGTTGCTCCTCTTCCAGTCCAGCTCTCTGCTGTGGCCCAGGAAGGCAGTGGAGGATGGCCCAAGTTCTTGGGCCCTGCAACTGCATGGGAGACCAGAAGGAAGCACCTTGCTCCTGGCTTCAGATCTGCGCAGTGCACTGGCCACGTCGGCCATTTGGAGGGTGAACCAACGGAAAAAGGAAGACCTTTCTGTCTCTCTCTCATCATCTAACTCTACCTGTCAAAAAAAAATAGACTAATAAGTAGCATTTCTCGTTTTAGCCACTTGTTTCACTTCTGGTGGTTCCCTGCATAACTGAATTTATATTACAATTTTTTCACATTTTGCCTTGAGGAAGTGAAATACAGGTATCGAAGTCTGAAGTGCACAAGTGCCTCACTCACTTGGATTATCCAAGCCACACCCTTCCCATTATACTCACTCCATCTCTTGGTGGCTGCATAGAACAATTACTTAAATTTCTTGTTTTATCAACACTTTTGTTTTCATCTCTTCATCTCCTTGTTTCTTCCAGATAAAATTTTGCTTTCTATACTCAAAACCAATTAAAATCTGCATTTAATTCTTGTGGAAGGCCAAAAAATGGCCCTCCAAAGACATTTGCATCCTAATCCCCAGAACCTGTGAATGGGTTAAGCTACATGACAAAGGGAGGATCAAGAATGCCAATGAATTTTTTTTTAATTATTTACTTATTTGAAAGGTAGAGTTACAGACAGTGAGAGGGAGAGACAGAGAGACAGGTCTTCCATCCACTGGTTCACTCC